AAGAAAAAACAACAACAAAGATACCACTTTCAGAACTAAAGTATGCCCAACACAAACCACAGTACTTTCAATCTTCCCACATGCTAGTGAAAGGTGGACAGTGAATAAGGAGAATCTAAGAATGAATTGTGTTTTAATTCTGGGGTTAGTGAAGAATACTGATAATGATGTCTCTAAGGTGAACCAGAGATCGAGATAAACATTATGAATGGATTTTGGGCTCACACTAGTCCTAATCTAAGAACAATTAGACCTTGGCCCTACTGAATACTTGCCCTCATGAAGAGATCACTGAAGATATGAGTGTTATAGCAAAGTGTGTTGAAAAAACTAGATGCTACCTGGTTATATGAAAAAATAGCATATGAAATTTTAAAGACTTATCTTCAAATAAGCAGCCATCTAAGTGAGGTTTCTACTAAGTCCATGTGGAAGATGCACATCAGCCTGTTTGACCCAAGGATTGTAAAAAATAAAATCCAAATCCAGTGGAGGGAATAGTATCAGAGCTTGAATTGTGACTACTCTGTTTGCAGAAGGCTATGGATGACAGTGGAAGCCCCAAATGCATTTGCAGGTCCACACATAAATTAAGCCGCTGGTGAATACCCTCTGAACATAGTCCAGGTATGTAGAATGACTTGCTATCAAATAGAAAGCATCGTGAAGGCAGACATAGTTAAGGCCAGGGGTCCTCAAACTTTCTAAACAAGGGGCCAGTTCACTGTACCCTCAGAGCCGTTGGAGGGCCAGACTATAGTTTTAAAAAAAACTATGAACAAATTCCTATGCACACTGTACATCTCTTATTTTGAGGTAAAAAAACAAAACAGGGCAAAAACACCCGGCCGGCTGGATAAATGTCCTCGGTGGGCCACATGTGGCCCTTGGGCCATATGTTGAGAACCCCTGGTTAAGGCTATCATGCAATATCATTTGATCTCCCTTTAATCCACTTTAAAGTTGTTTCTATTTTTAATATTTTATTTTCTATCTATGTCTTTCTAATGTTTTGTCTAGACATTGTTATTGTATTTCTTTGTTTGCTTCCCAATTTTGGCTTATGTGATTTTCTTTATGAGAAATCCAGGATAGGTAATTCCATAGAGACGGCAACTGGATTAATTATTGCCCAGAGTCATGGCAGGGGAGTTTGAGGGGAAGTGGGAAGCTAATAACAATGCCTATGAGAAGAAAATGTTCTGAAATTGATTGTGGTTATGACTGCACAACTCTTCTCAATATGAATGAATGATTAAATTACATGATATGTGACTTAAAAAAAAAAAGAGTTCCTATAAATATTCAAAAAAAAGAACAGTTTTCCCCTTTGGCTTTGAAGGTTGTACTACTCTAGTTTGGTTTTTTTCCTAGCTTTTTTGCTCTTTATCTGGCTCCGATTCTTACAGACAGTTTTTGTGAAGAATGAGTACGATCATCTTTGTTTATGAATAGTATCAGGGCAGAGTATATGTTCTATAAATGTTAGGGTATTTTAAATATAAAAATCAGCATAAGAAGAATCAACTGCCATTTTTAGTACATTGGTACAATGTCACCCATATATACTACACCAAATGATATATAATACTCACTAATATGTGCGTATGTGTATAATTCTATTCATCCTAACAACCCCATTTTAGTATAATTAAATTGAAGCGCATGTTAGCTAATGGACTGACCTGTGTTACAAACCTAGTTCCAGTATTTACTAATTTTATGACCCTGGATAACTTACTTAACTTTCCTAAGCTTTTCTCTCTCCATCTGTGTAAATTTACAATAGTCTTGTAAGAAGAGAATAAAACATAGAATATGAGACACACATATTCAACATACATTATCTCCTTTTTCCTCTTGTTGCTTTCAGATACATTTTCCTCAAATTTTCCTTGGCTTTCTTATTTTATACTATTTATACTATTAACTATGCTTCATCATAATTTTGAAAATAACTCCTCCAGAAAGAGAATTCTAAATTTTTTTAAATCATTTTATTGGGGGCTCATACATCGATTGTGTAAAGCACATTTGTACATTCCTGTCCTCATCATTCTCAAAACATTTGCTCTCCACTTAAGCCCATCATCAGCTCCTCATTTTTTCCCCTCCTTCATGAACCCTTGATAATTTACAAATTATTATTATATCTTACACTGTCCATCTCCCTTTACCCACTTTTCTGTTGTCCATCCCCCAGGGAGGAAGTTATATGTAGATCCCTGTAACAGGTTCCCCCTTCTACCCCACCCTCCCTGCACCCTGCTGGTATTGCCACTCTCACCACTGGTCCTGAAGGGATCATCCGTCCTGGATTCCCTGTGTTTCTAATTCCAAGATAGCTCTAAATTATGTGCATCCAAATCTCCCTCAAATGTCCAGGTCCACCTCTTTTTTTTAAATCAATTTTATTGGGGGCTCTTACAACTCTTTTAGCAATCCATACATCAACTGTATCAATCACATTTGTGCATATGTTGCCATCAACATTTTCAAGGCATTTTCTTTCTACTTGAACCCTTGGTTATTGGCTCCTCTTTTTTCCCTCTCTCCCCCACTCTCCCACCTTCATGAACCCTTGATAAATTATAAATTATTGTTATTTTCATATCTTACACCGTCCGCTGTCTCTCTTCACTCACATTTGTGTTGTTCATCCCCCTCGGGTGCTATATGTTGGTCATTATAATCAGTTCCCCCTTTCTCCCTCTACCCTCATGGTATCACTACTCCCATTACTGTTCCTGAGGGGCTTATGTGTCCTGAATTGCATGTGTCAAGGGCTCTTATCTATATCAATGTACATACTGTGGTCTAGCCAGATTTGTAAGATACAAATGGGTCATGATAGTTAGGAGGGGGGGAAGCATTAAAGTATTAAGAGGAATGTTACGTGTTTCATTGGTGCTATACTGCACCCTGGCTGACTCATTCCTTCCTTGTGAACCTTCTGTGAGGGAATGTGCAATTGTTCAGGCCCATGTCCTTAAGCTTTGCTACTTCAGAAGCCCACTGCTTGACATTTTAAACTCATCCCTCTTCCTCACAAACCTAAAAATGGATGGCAAAAGGCTAGGGCATAAAATATTTATAAAGGCAGAATAAGTAGGATGAATAACACATAAAAGAATCAACTTTCAGTTTCCAGCTTACGTGGAACAAAAACTGTGAACATGATATCCAAAATTTCCTCCCCTTTTTCTCGTTTCCCTTTCCTCAGACATAAAACTCTAATCTATCCATTTCCCTCACCAGGCCCCAAATGGCTTCTCCTATCTCTTTTACTCCCTCACATTTAAATGTTCTATTCATTTAATATCTGATTACATATGATCTCCCATTACCAAATTCTATAAATTTACATAGTACCTTCCTAACTATCTTGTAAGTTCTTTAAGGTCAACACCATCTCTTTTATTTTTAGTATTCTTAATAGTGCTAACAAATGTTAACAGTTTACTGTTAAAAGATAATTGTCAAGAAGTCAGATAATCAAGAATAAAGAACTTTTTGACATGGAGAAAAAGGTTTTCAAAGAAAAAGCTTGAGAATCATGCCACAAGTAGAGAAGGTATGACAAACAATAAATTTTTCTCTCAAAAGTTTTAGTCTTGGCTTTAAACAGAAAAAAAAAAAAACAGGTCTTTAACACAAACTTCCTTACTCATAAGTTAATTCTTTGTAAATCATCCTCAAGAATTGTACACTTTGTTTTAAAATACTTATTTTGTAATGTGACTACTAGTCATTACACTACTTACATCAAAAATAATCGTGAAATGATAGCTGTCTCTAAAACTATGTATTATTAACTGATGTGCTATTTACTGTGTCTTAAATAGTTAAGACCTTTACAATTCGGATAATAAAAAAACAACTGTAGAACTTATTAAAAGAAACTGTCTCCTTGGTCAGGTGAATGACTATTTACTTTCCAATTAGTGAGAAATACTTTTTTCTTTAAATTACATTCTATTACTGAGATCAAAACAAAAAAACCTACAGTCATTAACACTGACTTTGATATGCTTAGTTTACCTGAGTAGCTTTATCTTTCATGCATGAAGGGTAGTGAACATGAGGATCTCGTGGCCACTGTCCTGTGAGGTAAGGTCCTGTTATTGTATCCAAAGATGAGGTTCGCCTTATTGTACTAGAGGTTCGAACTTGCTGAGATTTTGGCCTGTCCACTATAAAAGATAAGAAAAGAAATAATTTAGATTAGTCTCAGATGAGTATAGTAAATGTTAATATAAACTTCAGTTAGAGAATGCCATCTGTCAAGTTTCCCTATAATATACATTTACACCAAGAGCCCTCTTGTATAATCTGATGACATTTACAGACCTGCTCCCAAGCAAAATATAGACACACAGTACAGCTTGCATATACTTTCACAGATTTCAAAGATCCTATGAAACCTATCCAATTTGAGAACTGCTCTAAGATTTACATACTATCACTACCGCCATTACTTTAAAGACTTTCTTCACCTGTCGTACTTGGATTGAATCCACATCAACTAAATCTTAAAATGCTAACCCCTTGCTAAAAACATTTCACTGGTTATTCAATATCTTTAGCTTAAATCCCTTATTATTTATTATGATGTAAAAAGCATTTCCAATTTGGCTCCTATGTACTTTAATTCTTAATTTATTGCTACTGGCTGCCTTTGAGTCAGTTCAGACTAATGGGATCCCACGTGTCTCGGAGTAAAACTGCTCCAGTAGAGTGTTCAATGGCTAATTTTTCAAAAACAGATCGCCAAACCTTTCTCCTGAGACATCTCTAAATGGACTTGAACCTCCACGCACATTAATCATCTTCCATCATTAGGGACTCCTTAATCTCTTGGTTTCTGTCATTCTCACTGCCCTGGAGGCAATTCCAATTCATAGCGACCCTGTGGGACAGAGCAGAACTGCCTTCATGGGTTTCCTAGGCTCTAAATCTTTATTGGGGCAGAAAGCCTCATCTACCTCTCTTAGAGCACTTTGGTGGATTTGAACTGCTCACCTTGCAGTTAGCAACCCCAATGTGTTAACCATCTATGCCACCACTCTTAGTACTTGTCTATAAAGCCATGCTAACTACAAAGAGACCATATGAACTACGTGTAGTTTCCCAAATGTTGAATGCACCCTCTGCCTTGGAATATTGCATGATTTACAGAGTCTAGAACTCTTCCCTCCCTTGTTTACTTCAAGGCAAACTTATTTAACTTCAAGACCAACTCAGGTGTCATACTACCTCTGTGGACCCTTCCCCAAATGCCTTCTTCTTTTCTCTTCATTCTCTACTTGTGAAGATAAAGAACCCTTCTGTACTCTCATGGCTTCTCTCTCTCTCCCACCTAAGTACAGGTTCCAAGAGAGTATAAACTCTTCTTACAAAACTGAAAAAAAGAGGTAATGCTTAATATAAAAATCATACCCAATGTAAATGGGAATGAATTTATTCAAAACTACAAAGTAATATATGTAATGAAACTTACATGAAGTTTCAAAAATTCATGGAAAAACTTTTAATTTCTTTTAATTCCTTATTGCCATGAACTTTTTGAGGCCCTCTCAGATATCCTAAGTAGTTTATTTCTAATATGGATTCGGTGACAGAATCTAATGGATTATAAACTCCTAAGGTTCAGTCTAATTCAGAGTTGTATGCCTCACAGAGCAAAATGTGTTTCACACACCAGCCTGTGTGATCACAAGGTGTCCATGGCATCAGGTATCAGGCACCTAAGACCCAGAACAAAACCATACCCAAGGTGAATAGGGGGGCGGGGGCTTGGAGTGGAGACCCAATGCCCGTCTGTAGACAACTGGACATCCTCTCACTGAGGGGTCACAGGGAAGAGGCGAGCCAGTCAGGATGCAGTATAGCACCGATGAAACACACAACTTTGCTCTAGTTCTTTGGTGCTTCCTTCACCCCACTATCATGACCTCAATTCTACCTTACAAATCGGATTAGACCAGAGCATGCACACTGCTACAGATAAGAGCCCACAACGCAGGGAATTCAGGATAGATAAAACCCTCAGGGTCAACAATAAGAGTACAGATACCAGTAGGATTAGGGGATGGTGGGGGGAGCAAGAGGGAATCAATCACAAGGATGAATCTAGAACTCCCTCCCAGGGGGACGAATAACGGGCAAGTGGGTGAGGGGTGACAGAGGACAATGTAAAATATGGAAAAATAATCTATAACTTATCAAGAGTTCGTGAGGGAGGGAGGGGGAAGAAATGGGCAGCAGATATCAGGGGTTCGAGTGGGAAGAGAATGCTTTGAAAATGATGATGGTGTGCAAATGTACTTGACACACTAGAATGTATGGATTGTGATGAGATGTTAGAGCCCCCAGTAAAAGTATTCTTTTTAAATGTGGTGCATATTTATTATTGAATGCTGTCTTTCATGGAACCTTCTTGGATCATATACACTCATTTCTCACTTATGTGTGTAGTTAGGTTCCAAAGATCAAAATCATGTGAAAATCTGCATTATGTTAAAATGAAGGATAACCACATTAGATCACAAAATAGAAGATGACTACATGCCTATGTAACTACCAAATCACTGAGAATCATGGCCCAGTCAAGATGACATATACCCATAATCATCACAGTTAGTTTTATTCTTGCCTTGTACCTTGGTATGTTAACACCAGATGTATGTCATTAGCGTGAAACAGTCACACAGCCAATTTTTAACTATTGTCCTAAGTGCAAAGTGTTGGACAGCAAGATAGTAAGTGAGGCAAAGATGGTCAGTTGCTTACTAGAAAAACAAAAGAAAATGCAATATACTCTGATGCTATGTTACCCATGAATCTTAAAACTACAATTTTTATTTCTTAAAAATTATTAAAGAAGATTTGAAATTTACCAAATCCCTACCTTACTTAGTTATAATTTGGGGGAGAAAGATGAGCTTTTCTATTTCTACTACTGCAAAGTCACAGTCTTGGAAACCCTGTCCTATAGGGTCGCTGTGAGTTAAATCTACTTGATGGCATTAAGTTTAGTTCCAATTTTATTGCACTGTAGGCAAACAATCTACAATAATTTATTTTTATTCTTTGGGGTTACCTGAAGTTCTATTACAATCAAAGATATTACTTGTGCTTTCTTCCTTATACAATTTACCTATATATGTACCCTTTCATTTTCACATTTATAATTACTTTGGTTTTTGTAATTTGTTAATTAGGAATACGTATATATCATGACATAGTTCAATTACATCAAGCAGTATTGTATATTTGCTACCACGTGTAGCAGTTATACAGTATTTAATAAATAGGCTTAAATAGCATTTAGTATATAGTATTTAATAGTAGTGTTTAATAAATAGGCTTAAAAAATCTTTAACAACTTTGTCAAAATCTTCTTTTAAAGAATTTACCCCACTTACATTTCTTGTTATAACAAAGCTTATTTAATCATTTATTCCCCTGTTTTATAGTGCTTCCATACTGCCTAATTTGTGTTTTATTGTCTTTTCCCTTCCCTTCTCCTTAGACTTATGTAATTTGAAAGACAGACTATTTTCAACTATTTCTGTAAGTTAATTCTATTAATTCTTTTAAATGTTTTTCAGATTAAAGAAGTAATGATTTTATCAACCATAGAATATATGAACGTAGCATTTTCCCATGATCTCATTTATAATTATATGCTTAAACTTAAACTTACTTTACATTCCATTAGAAGGAAACAATACAATTATTTCTTGAGAGACAAAGACAATATTTACAGCAGTTGAATGCTAAACGAAGAAGGCCTATGTAAAAGTCAGCTACAGCCAAAAAAGGAAGTCATTATATATGTGAAAAGTCTGTGCCTTGAACACAAACTTCTTAAAACTATTTCAAAAGTTGTGCATAGTCTACCAAAAACTCCAAGCTAAGCATTGCCGTCAAGTCAACTCCAACTCACACAGGCCTGACAGAGTAGGGGTTGAGAGGGTGAATCGTCACAGCAGCAGACAGCCTCAGCCTTTGCCTCCCAGGGATGGTGGCGGGTTTGTTCCACCAACTTTGCTATTAGCAGTTCGATGTTTATGCCACAATATCAACATGTAAACAGCTTACTTAGTCATTTAAGCTCCTTTCAACTTGGTAAGTAACCAGTAAAGGCCATTTTATGTTTTAAAATAAGCAAATGATGACCCATTGGTCTTATACACCATATTCTAATCTATAGTTACTAATTTTTCTTTTAATGTATTTTTAATCATTGTACATTTGACCAAGTATTCATATAGGCACAAGTGTAAGCATGCTGAGACATGCACTTATTTAATTATAAATCAGATTATGTACTCTTATTACTATCATATGCACTATAAAAGACAAAAAAACTTATGCATATAATTTAGTTTTTAAAAAGGTATATTTTTTTCAAAATAATAATTTATAAATTATCAAGGGTTCATAAGGGAGGGGGGGGGGGGGAAAAATCAGGACCTGATGCCAGGGGCTTAAGTGGAGAGCAAATGTTTTGAGAATGATGAGGGCAATGAATGTACAAATGCGCTTTACACATTGATGTATGCATGGATTGTGATAAGAGTTGTATAAGCCCCTAATAAAACTTTTAAAAATAAAAAAGGTATATTTTTCCTGTACTTCACTGGAGAGGCCTAACTACCTTCAATTAGTGCATGATTGGATTAAGATACCAGAAATTAAGTGCTGAATTCAACCTAAAGATTGGCTAGTTTCCTCTAATTCTAAGACTATAATCCCAAATCTTAACTGTATAAATAAGTTTATATACAGATAAAGCACACATAATCAACAGAATATATATATATATATATACACAATGTTCTACAGATATATTTTCCTTTTTAAGAAAGAATAAGTTAAGGCAGTAGCAGTCCATCCAATCGTTATAAAATTCACTCCATCAGCTGTGATTTTTAAAAAATTGTTTCAATAAAGCAAATGTTCAATCCTATGCGCTTCACACAGCTAATGGAAAACTTCCAGTATCTTTCAATTCCATTTTATCATTAAAATTTTCAAGCTCCCTCGTATATTTATCTAAATGTATGAAAAAAATCAAAATGAATTTATCTCATTATTACTTAACCTGACTAAGCATCAGGAAAATAGCTTCTTCTTAAATGGAGAAACCACATCTACCAAGAAGTCTATTAGCTCATAATCATTA